CCAGTGGGAGGTTTCTTTCTGCTTATTTGTTTGTAACTAGTGCTGACTTGTGAAACATTTAATACTTACCAAGTCACCAAATCACAGAATTGTTGGGGTTAGAAAGAAGCTCTGCAGGCATCCATTCCAGTGATGCTGCTCTTTTCCATTTCTCTTAAACTGTGCAATGGAGAGGGGAAAAGTTGCATTGCATAATAAAAACACAGATTTCCTGAAGAGTGTGAATACACTGCTATGTGTGTACTATACGAAGGGCATATGTTCAAGCATAATATAGCATATGTTATCCTTTCAGGGACACCCCTTAGGTTTTCCAAGTATAGATGAAATCATAGAAACAGCAGCCTCCAGAAATTAGTCCTTTGCCAGGTACCCTTGGTAATAGAGTTTCACACATCTTTTCCTCCCCTCATTAAGACTGTGTTATCAACATCACATAAATTTCATGTGAAAGAGTCTCTTTGATGACATTGTATAGAAAAATGTCCAGTGAAATGAAGGGAGAAGACATCCTTTAGAAGCTTTGAAAGCTCCAGTTGATGAAAGATTGGCTAATAAAACAAGAAGTTTTTGGAACTAGAATGTCATTTTAATTTAGGGAATGAAAATGCAAAGTAAATACTTTATTGATGTTATTGTTGTAGTTAAATTAATGCATTTTTTTAAGTTTAACTACATAAAGTCACTATTGAAAACTTATGACTGTGAATTGCAGGAATCAAATTAATATTATGTCTTCCTTCATACTAAAAAGATACATCTACATTAGTCAGTGTTGCTGTTTACTTGACACAGTAAGGAGATTGTCCTAACTCTTGCTTGCTGCAAATTCCTGAGCCCATTGTTCTGATATCACTGTCCCTTCATTCTACTTAATGATTATGCTATTCTTGTTGCCTTTCCCTAAAACTTTTTCAGATTACTTTATCAGCTTCATCCAAATTTTTCTTCTACTTCCCCAAAATACTATTGCTCTTTACTGCCATCTATAAATTCATGACCAGCATTCCCACGTCATCTTTTTCCACGTATCTCACTATTATTAACTACATTTTCAGCTTCATATTTAAAAATTTTCATCTCTGTCAAATCAGAGTTTTGGTCTATTCATCTAGGCTTTATGTATTTTTTTAAACTCTCATAAAGATTTTGGACAGAACTTCAAGTAGTTATCAGGGTTTTTCTTCACCACTCATGTGTTAAAATATCTTGAAATTTCAATTACATATGATTTAAATAATTATTTTTTCTTCTAAGAAGAATTCTGTCCGCAACTTCACAGTGCTTCTAAAAGCAGCACTCCACATTCTTTCCTATATGAAACACTATCCCATCCTTACTTAAATGTTTCCTCGTACTTGAGGTTCATAGGTAATTCTGGTTCCAAAAAGGCTGTATTTTGAACCTTCCAGAACATCATAAGAGTGTTTCACAGAGAGAAATCCAGTTCTTTCTCCTCTCTAACTCTTTTTCTGGGTTTGTGTCCAATGGGATATTCGCAGCAGCTTATTTCGCCCTTTCTGTTTCCCTTGAAACCCCATGTTAGCTCTGTTATATGCTACTCAGCAGACAGAAGATAATACAGCTAGGTGGTTGAGGTTAGACTACTCTCACACAAACACTTTCTGGTTTGGTTTCAAAGTAGGCCATTGTCAGAGGATGTTCCATTTAAAACTTTTAAAATATTTAAAGTCCCAGCATGGCCCTTGGTAGGCAAGCATCTACTACTCCAAGGTCATAACCCATTTTTGTCATATTTTGACAGTATTAGTAGACAAACTCCATGTCAAATGAAAATCTTCCATGACTTTATGATTAACTTGTCAAATCAAAGATTCTTGCTGAATATTGAAAGGAAATTGTATTTTTGCTGAAGTTATTCTGGAGAACACAACAGGTCAGCTCTCAACGCTGCCAGTACCATTATCTGCCACAGGCCTTAAATATCTTTGGAACATGTTAAAAAGCATTAGAAATACTCTGCAGCTGTTATAATATAATGGTATGCTGTAATAATTATCACAATTTTCAATTAAATTCTTTTACCGATTATTTTTTTTCTAAACCAGAGCAGGACAATACTTTAAATTGCAGCCACTTACTGAGTTTCAGAGCTGATGCTGGGGACAGGTATGTGATATTTGTCAGCTTTGCTTTATATAGGCTTATGCAAATGATAACTTTTCTTCAGAAAAGAAATATAATTTGAATCTCCACTGAGACTTCTGAGTTTTACCATTTTCCAGTCAAAATATTATTTCTAGTATTATTTTGATACTAAATTAGACATTTATCAGAGATAATTTGAAATACCTGGGAAACTTAAATGCCTTTTCTATAACATAATTCCAGCTTCAGGCATGTGGGGAGACTAAAACCAAATAAGTTTGCTTTATTTTTGGTCTGTTCTGCTACAAATGTTTGAATAGCTCTCATTGCAAGTATGCCATGAACTGTGGAAATTAAATTCATTTAGAGAAAAGGAGCACTTCTGTTATTGATAATGATTTATGAAAGGTGGCATATATGTTTAAATCCTGATGCATACTGGACAACAGAACCTACTTATTTAAATAGAAAGTGTAACCTAGGTTTAGGAATTAAATTCATAGTTATATTTATTGGAGATAAGTTTTGGAATAGGCCTATGGGGCTGAATAGGATAAAGGTTTGCTATATGTTTACACTACAATCCTAACATTGAATGTCAGAGAGTATGTTAAATTATTTATGACATTTTAGTTGATCTAAGGAAAATATATTGATGGGTTTCAACACATTTTTAAAACGCTGTTTTCTGTTTTCATGGGAACTTCCGAAGTCTGTAGTTTTCATTTGAGGCAGGAAAGAATAGAAAAAAAATCCATCAAAAAAAATCTCTATTTTCCATAATATTGTAAATTAAATTTTCACTAGAAGTTAAACCCAACTCTCCAGTCAGTAATTAATATCTAGTGACAGTGCCTTTAGATTCAGAACACATACTCTAACTGAAGCTGGTTATTTCTTCAACTACAAGACCTAGGAGTTATATTCCATTTTTATGATCATTTGCTTTTATAAGTGATATCCTGGATAAGGACCTATCTTTCACTGGTGAGATAATGTATCTGTAAATACACTGGGAAAAATCTACTTTGTTAGACCTATAGCATTCAGTGAACTGCTTTGTTTTATAAGTAAGAGTTGAATTTTTCACTGTCTGTTGAAATGAGTCTTTTAAATATAAGAAAACCTGACTAAAACTCTGGAGAAATGATACAAACCACTTTTTTGCTTTGTTTTGCTGTTGTTCTACTTGTAAAAATTCCCTGAAAAGAAACCACCTTGATATACCTTGATATTGATGATCTACCCTACATACGATTCAGTGAAGTGTTGAGTGACTGCTCTTTCTCTAGACAGGTTACTGAGTCTGCATGATGAAGAAAGGTTGTATTCCCTCCTTCCCAACATCTGCTGTCACTCTTCCTTCTTGTTTGTCCACTTGCATTGTACTTACGGAGCTAATTTTCACAATTCCAGGAGGATAATTGGATTGATAAATCCACACAAAATAGCAGTATATTCCACTTAGTACAGCAGCACAGAAGACTATGGTTTTTTTCAGACAACATCTAGCAGGTTTTTTCAGACATGTTTGACTTAAGCTGACTCTTCCCTTAATGCTTTTTTTCAAAGCTGCAAGAAGGATATTTGAGTACATAGAACATAAGTTCACAAAAAACATCTTTCAAGTTGCTTTTAGAGAAAAGAGAACTTTTAACACAAGCACAAAAAAAAGTTGTTCTTTTTAAAAATGACTATCCTCTGCAGCTTCTGTTAAACCATCTTAACAAAGAAGATAACACCATAACTAAAATATTTATAATTCATCATAGTCCCTTTGAATAATAAAAAAAAAAAAGAAAGGTTCACTACTTTATTCATCTCTCCTAATGATACAGAGAGGAAAGAAGTACCTAAACAATGAATACTAATGCAGAAACTCAGACTGTAAAATCAATATGTCAGCTCAGTAGAGCTGAGCTTCTTTCTAATGCTGCTGTTCCAGCAGTAGAGTTTACCTTCTGAATTATATATGTATTGACCTAATTACATAAATATTGACTTTGCTTTATATGAAGCCTTTTTCAGTCTCAGTGTAATTACAATGTCAATATTTGTTGTATGTAATAACACTGAATTTACACTTGTTAATTTTGATTGATAGTGGCATGCCACAAGTTATTATATGGGATAAGACAGTTAGTGTAGAAGCATGCATAGCAGATACAAGCAGCTGACAATGCTAGCAAATTTCAGTGTGTCTCCAAGATCTTCTGTTTTCAATGTTTAACCAGGCAGAGGAAATATAATGGGTGACTGTATCCTTGTTCCATACAAAGTACTGTTTTGAGGTGGAGAAATGTTTACCCTGGTCCAAAAAAAAAGTACAAACATTCGGCTGGGAACTCAGTGAAAGAGTTCCTGTTTAAAGTTAGCCTTACAATTTTGCCTTACAATGTTGTAAATTCTGTTTAAATTGTACCAAAATGGAAGTTTTATATAGCAACAACTGTATTTTTCTGCATACCTTTCATCAACTATACATTATTTTGGAATATTTTTGGGACCCAGACACAAACAATTTCCATTACATTATTTCTCTTTTTCTTCAAATCCTAGAAAGATGTGAGCAGTAAACTTTTAGATACTCCTGGGACTTGCAAAACTGTTCACTTCGGTTTGCAAATGTTTGCTGAGATATATTTCTACAAGAACAATTTTGTTCAGAACTGCCAGACCTCTGAACTGCTTTCAATGATGAATAGCCATATAGTGTAGTGCATGTTTCTAGATGCAATTATAAAGGATTTAAATTTGGCAGCTGCATGAGAATTAGAAACCACACTGTGACAGTCTGTGTGCTGAGGATATTTAAATTTGTTCTAGCTATAATATGTTGCCAGTAGTGACAAGGCATGCATCATTCTGTATTTTCTTGTTTGTCTCAGCAGGGATGCCAGACAAGACGAACCTCAGTGACGTAAAGCAAATCCATCAAATCAACGATGGCAGCACTTTAGACGCAACTGGAGCAGGATGTACAACAATGGCCGATTATATAGCGTTTATGCTGATTAGTTTGGTAACACTATTTCTCAGTCTTTGCTTAGCTCTGGCTTGATAAACTCATTGTCATCTGTTTATCCTCACTCACAAGCCTGGAATAAGGGATCTGGTGAATATAGCAATATTTATGATATCATGTATAATATCAGCCTCTGATCTTAGGCATAAATATTAACAAAGATTTTGTGTAATAAATTTAACCTGTGGGGTTTTTAAATGCCTGTACAGTCACACAAAGTCATGTTTTCTTTTATAATATTTTATGTTAGAAATAAGTTGTCTATGTTCGGGTTTTTTTTAAAGCAATTTGTAAAAAAAAGATCACAGTATCACTGAGTCATGGAAAGGGTCCCAGGAGATCACCGCGATGAACCCTATGCTCTGAGTAGACTCACTTGGAGCAAGTTGCCCAGGGCCAAGTGCAGTTGGTATTTGAATGTCTCCAAGGGTGGAGACTCTAGAGAATCCCTGGACTAACTCTTCTGGGTTTTGAGCATTCCTAGCAGAATTTTTTTTCTTACATTTAAATGTTGTCTATTGTATTTCAGTTTGTGCCCATTGCCCATTGTGCCCATTGTGTCCTGTCACTGGGCAACACTGAAAAGAGTTTGTCTCCATTGTGTTTACTCCACTTATTTATTTACAGTATTTATACACTTTAATAAAATCCCTCCCTTCATCTTCTCTTCTCCATGCCAAATAGACCAAGCTGTCTCTGCCTCTCCTTGTATAAGATTTGTTCCCATACCTTAAAAATCTTCATGGCCCTTTGCAGGACTCCATCCATTATGTCCATGTCTCTCTTGCCCTTGTCCTTGGGAGCCAAGACCTGGACACAGCACTGGACATGTGGTCTCGCAAGTGCTGAACAGAAGGGGAGGATCACCTCCTTTGATCTGCCAACAATATTTTTCCTAATTCAGCCCAGGAGGTAGCTGGTTGTCTTTGATGCCAGAGCACACTGTGGGCTCTTGTTCAACTTGGTGTCCATTAGGACCTCAAGGTCCTTCTCTGCAAAATGCTTTCTACCCAGCATGCATCAGCCTGTACTGTTGCATGGGATTATTCCTCCCCAGGTGGAGGACTTGGCATTTCCCTTTCCCGAACTTTCTGAGGTTTCTATCAAGCCATTTCTTCAGTCTGCAGAATCCCTCTGAATTAGTAATTCTTTTTCATAGTTTAGAAAAAACACAGATACTATGTATGTATATGAACACACGTATATAAGCCCATTTTATCTAGGGATAACAGCAAGGTTAAGATTCAGTGTTGGATTAAAGTATCTTTATACGTCTACATATAGATATTTACATATGTGCTCTGTATCTCTAAACCATAGCTATAGTCATTGGATTCAATTGCTAAAATGCCAACAAGTACCAATTGCGAAGCTGTTAAAAAACCTACCTGGTGTCCACTACTGGTCTGATTGGTTTCAGGTCTTTGGGTAAGTGACCAGAGCCCTTTGTCAACACAGTCAGTGAAGCTCAGTACATTATTCAGCTCCCGTGAACACGGACACCTAAAAAGGCAACTCAGTTACCCAAAATAAATGACTTGGATTTCTTGGAGTATAAGATTTCTTATATTACATATTCTTATATTATATTTCTTATTATAATAAGATTTCTTGGAGTATCCAAAACATCCTCATGGGACTGACATACACAGTGCAGGATTTATTGGGAGTTCCAGAGGCTTCCTTAAACGGGAGTCATGGGGAGTGGCAACTTGTAGCTAAGTGGAACATCTTTCATTAACTCAAATAGATGTAGACATTCACATGTGGTCCATGAATCATAGACCATCAGTGTTATTGGTAGCTTAGATACCTAGCTGCAGTGGTGACACATGAATGCAAATCTGAACCACAGGAATTCCAACTCAAGTTCTTATGCTTTATAAGATGAGCCAAGCTCATGTGTTCCACAGTATTAATGACACATTATATATTACTGTTATAAGATTTGATTATTCTGCCATGAGCAATTCCCGCATAATTTCAACCAGAATATGTTTAAGAATATTTTGTACTTATTTTTCCTTTACAGTCCTTTCCAAGAGGAAAAAAAATAAACTGTACAGGATTGTATGCATTCATACTGTACCTAGAACTCTTCCTAGACTGAAAAAGTTACTTTTATATGAGACTAATATAAAGAAACATATATAAATATTTTTATTGCCAAACATATGTGTTAGTCATTAATGTGCACAGTATAACATACAGTATAACATACAGATAACCAGATAAAATTTAGAGAAAAAATTTAGAAAATAAGTGAACATTCCCATGAGCAATTCCATGCCCAGATAAACACCATTAATAGGTGTGCGCAGTGTGTACACTTTGCTTGACCTCTTTTTTTTCTTTTGCGTGTTTTGTAAATCAGTCTTTCAAAATCACTAGCCTTTTTCGCTCAGCATACATGAAATTATGACATTGGTAGTTCAGGGAAATAAAATGTGACTTCTTTCTTTTCCTTTTTATGTCGACCACATTGGTAATCAATCTAGTTCAGCAACTTTTTTTTGAACAATGATCAGTATCAGTCCTCTGTCCTTCACATTGCAGGCAATGATGAGGGAAGAACCAGGAAGCCAGCATATAAAATCAAGCTCACTAGGGATAAGCCTGGAGGTGGCACACACAGTGTTTGAGGGATGATGTGCTAGCGAGATCCTTCAGTCTACCATCTCAGCAGAGATAGGGGATGGAAATCTGTGCAGCAGCAAAGACACAAGTGTTATTGGTGTGTTAGAAACCATGTAAGTGCGTGAGAATGACCACGCAGAAATTAGGGTTTGTCCTCCCAAGAAGCAGCAGGATCAATAGCCTAACTGAAGTGCATCACACAATGCACACAGCATGGGCAACAAAGAGGAGTAGCTGGAAGCCATTGTGCATCAGGAAAACTATGGAATAGCTGCCATCACAGAAACATGGTGGGAGGTCTCACAGAACTGCAGTGCTCTGATGGATGGCTATAAACTCTTCAGAAGGGATAGGCAAGGAAGGAGAGGCATTGGGGTAGTCCTGTATAGTAAGAAGTGTTTTGATGCTCTAGAGCTTGAAAACTGTGTCAACAGGGTTGAGTATTTGTGGGTAAGAATTAGGGGGAAAGTCAATAGGGCAGATATCCTGGTGGGAGTCTATTACAGACCACCCAACCAAGATGAAGAGGCAAATAAAATATTCTAACAGCAGCAGGGAGAAGTCTCACAATCACTACCACTTTTTCTTGTGGGGGACTTCAACTTACCATATGTCTGCTGGAAATAAAACACAGCAGGAGGTTCCTGAAACGTGTGGAAGTGACCTATCTGTCACAGCTGGTGAGTGAGCTAAACAGGGAAGGCACTCTGCTGGACTTGTTGTTTGTGAACAGAGAAGGACTGGTGTGTGATGTAGTGGTTGGAGACAATCTTGGGCAAAGTAATCACAAAATGAGTTTTCTCCTCTTGGAGAAGTAAGGAGGGCAGTCAGTAGAACTGCTGTCTTGGACTTCTGCAGGGCAGGCTTTTGCCTTTTTAGGAGGTTGGTTGAGAGAGTCCCTTGGGAGGCAGTCCTGAGGGGCAAAGGAGTCCACAAAAGCTGTGCATACTTCAGGAAGGAAAACTTAAAGGCATAGGAGCAGTCATCCCCACATGCTGAAAGGTGAGCCAGTGTGGAAGAAGAGCTTACTAAAGTGAGTTTATTAAGGAAGGCAACTTAACTAAGAAAGCTTCTGCTGCTTAGTCTTATAAAAGCTTAATGGCTATTTAAAAGTTTTTCTTCAGTGATACCTTTGTCTTAAGATATGAATGTCTAAAGTTAAGATTATGTCAACATTCACATAGGTCATTTTATTATCAAGAAATTCCCCAGAAACTTACAGGAAACTGGAATACAGAAACTGTCAGATGATTCTAAGTTGGGCAGGAATAATGATCTGCTGGAGGGTAGGAAGACTCTGCAGAGGGATCGGGACAGGCTGAATCAATGGGCCCAGGCCAATGGTATGAGGTTCAAAAAGGCCAAGTGCTGAGTCCTGTGCTTGGGTCACAGTAATCCCATGCAGCACTACAACCTGTGGAAAGAGGGACTGGAAAGCTGCCCAGTGGATAAAACACTAGGGGTGCTGGTCAAAAGCTGCTGAACTTGAGCCAGTGGTGTGTCCAGGTGGCCAAGAAGGCCAATGGCATCCTGGATTATATCAGAAATAGTCTGGCCAGCAGGACCAGGGAAGTGATCATCCCCACACACATTCAGCCCTGGTGAGGCTTCATCCTAAATCCTGTGTTCAGTTTTGGGCTCTTCACCACATTAAGGTGCTGGAGCAGGTCCAGAGAAGGGCAGTGGAGCTACTGAAGGATCTAGGGAGTAAGTCCTATGAAGAGTGGTTAAGGGAGTTGAGACTGTTTAGCCTGGAGGAAAGGAAGCTTAGGAGTAACCTTATCACTCTCTACAACTACCTGAAAGGAGGTTGTAGCAGGTGGGGATCAGCCTTTCCTCAACAGCAACTAGAGACATGATGAGAGGATATAGACTCAAGCTGTGCCAAGGGAGATTTAGGTTGGACATTAGAAGGAATTTCATCATGTGAATCATTGTTAAACATTGGAATGGATTGCCCAGGTAGGTGATGGAGTCACTAGCCCTGGAGATATTTGAAAAGGTATGCAGATGTGGCACTTAGGGATATGGTTTAGTGGTGGACTTGGCAGTTCTGGGTAAACAGCTGGACTCAAGGATCTTAAGCTTCTTTTCCAGTCTAAATGATTCTATGATTCTTGACTGTCCATTTCTATTTTCTTTAGGTGTAACTGTGTTTTCAAATGTGCTTGTATCTCCTGGGGAAAAGGTACTGAAGTACTTATTCTCATAACTAATATCCTAGCACTTTAAATAAACATTTCAAGGTGACAGCTTTCCTTTGTAACTGGTGAAAGAGTATAAAACCCATTTATTTCCTTGGGAAGCAAACATTGTTTTTCTTTTCATGATTAATAAAGTATGATTACAACAGCCAAGTAAAAGGTTATCTTTGTGTTTCTCTCTTTCTATAGATAGATGCACATATACCTCATTTATGTCTCTGTACCTGTATATTTATATGTTTAGTAAAATAATATTCTTGTTCATATTATAACAAGATTTAGATTAACTTATTGAAGATTTCAAATTAACCTAAATATTTCCATAGCATCCTCTCAGGATAATGAATTAAAATATGTGTTTGAAGCTATCTCTATTTATTTTTTAAAAATTCAGTTCTACTCTGAAGTAATTGTGTAAATATTAATCTTATTCAGAAAAGTATGTGGTTTTTTTATGTGCTCTGAGTCATAACTGACTATAATAGGAATTAAAATAAAAGTTGTTTCTAACTATATTACAATAAGAAAACCTTGTGTGACTCTAGTAAAACCCTGATTTTCTTCTTGAAAATCTTAGCAAAGTATTAATGAAGTTCTAACTCTTCTTTCTTTTTTCCTGGTGATACATGAACAAATGTTGCCAGACAAAATACGTGTATCTTGCTTTAGAAACTTTTTTTTGCTTTATTTTGGTACTTTTTAATGTGAAATGCTAAAGACAATATACCTGCTACCCCATGAAGCTCTTTTCCAGTTCACATTGAAGAGGAAGCTCACGCTGAGCTTCTGTGGTTGGGAGGGCTCGGTCGATGTATCTCATCACCCCTCACAGTGCAGAGGGCTGTGCTAAGATCACCTGCTGTGCATGCCTAATTTAGGTGTCACAGCAAAGTCTCTCCAGGTTTGTCAAGCGGTCTAAATCCATTGTTAGTCTCTTGAATGTAAGTCACATAGGGGTCTTTCTCAGTGGCAGTTTCTGCTTTTCCTGCTTCTCTCAATGTCACTCTGTTTCCCATTTCTGCTGGTTCAAGAGTTTACAGGATCCTGCAGTGAAACTGGTCGGGGTGTTTCGGACCCAAAGGATCTCCTCAGTCAAGTTCACTTTGCATCTTCAAAGACAATGCCACTGGTACAATGGATGGTATGGCCACAGTGCTCATGGAAGTTTAGTCACACATTTATAGCAGGTGAACACAATGTGAGGGACAACAAAACATCTGAATAGCATAAAATCATAATAGAGTCTGAATTTATTCATACATATGCCACACATGAATGTGTATAATGGATCTCTTTTGCTGATGGGCAAAAACATACTGCCCAATACATACCTCAGTATACCTTATCCTGAGTTGTTTCCCTTCCTTTGTCCTTTGTATCTGTCTTTAGGGGACTGGTATTGTATAAAATGTGCTTTCCTGTTTACTTTTAGTTCACTTTATTTAGATCTATAACTAACATATTTGTGCTAGCTTTTAAAAATAATTTTCATATCTGTTCACATTCCTGGTTTTTGGCAGACAGAACTGTTCATGAAACCTGTGTCTTTCACCTTTATATAAACAACAACAACAACAATAACAAAAATCCACAAACAAACAAACAAACAAGCACAAAAAAACCCCACACATAAAAAAACCGCAGAGGTTTGTCAAATGAAGCAACCTTCAAAAAGGTAAAAAGCAACTTGATCCTGAAGCATAAAAGTTGCTTGTCATGTATATCTTTATTAAGATATTAAACATACGGTATTTTTGGTGTCCAAGAAATGGTGGAATGGAAATTAGTGCATGGGCCAGGTCCTTCTTTTAGACATTTGTGATACTAGTGAATTCCTTGGATATAACTTAAAGCATAACTTGACATGGTATTATTTACATGCAAAATTGAATTGATACACTTAATACAATAAGATTGTTTTCAGAAAAGTATCACAAAATTACAGGCAATAGCAATTTGCATTTCTCTGCTCTAGACTGGTTTTATGTACATCATAACAAATAAAAAAAAAATTTAGAAAATGAAGATTTTTATTGAGAACTCTTACCTCTATGACTCTAAGGAAAAAATAAGAAATAGATAACTTGGTGATAAAAAGTTCAGCATTTTAGTAATCTAAACAGCAAGGACAAGAGGAAACTACTTCTGCTCAAATATGTAATTAGACTTGCACATTAATATGTGGTTAAAATAAGTATTTTGAAATAGTGTCTTAATTCTCAGTTCAATCTTTTGCCCTGAAAATCCTGTTTCTCTGTATCATTTTAGAACCACTGAGGACAGTGGAATTTCTGTGAGAAATGTTGAGGTATACTCTAGGTAGGCAAAAAGGTTTCTACACTGTGTCACATTATTTTCAGTGATCTATGAATAAAAAATACAAAATATCAGGTTTATAGAAGACCATAAGTATGCAGGCAATTTCAAATCCTAGAAAACACTGCAAACTCACTGATTAATAAAAAACATAAAGTAAAAGTGTTTTAGAGCTATCTGTTTCTTTAAGCAAAGGGGAAAATTAATCTAAGCTCGTGCCTCTAGAACTTAAACTCTCACTGACTGAGCCTTTTCTGCACTCTGGAATAATCCAGTTGCTGAAACATAGGCCTAGTTTTACAATTAATTGCTTGTTTATGAATAAAGAGAAAATGCACCATACATAGAAAGTCAAGAATTTACTGCTAGTAGAATTTAAGAATAATTATTAGTCTAGAACTATTTCCAAAAAAAGGAAAGCACAGTGACTTTATTAAAATATTTCTACACAGAAAAAGTTGCAATAAGAGTAATGCAAATAAATTGTAATACATAAACTACATGGTTTCTTTCATGTAGTTTTATACTCAACCTTCCACTGTTTGTATGGGTTCTAAAACTGGCAATTTCAGACTGTAGAAGAGGCATTATACAGGGTTGTCAGCATCTGGGGTCGTTCAAAGGGAGGAATATGACATTGCTGCTTTATTCTTCCTCACCTTATATCACGGGTGGGGTTCGGCCCCGCGATCGACCCTAGCGCACATTTTGTATAGGAAACGAGTCCCCAGATAGGTGACTCACAAAATGGCTCTTTATTAAAACAAGGTTTCAGTTTATATAGAGGGTACATAGAAGGGTCTCGAACAAGGGTGGGATTCTTGCCAGAGGCACGAATCCTGAGGATCAGAGATAAGGGAAAATGGAGGGATTGGCCGCAGGGATATGCCCAGCCATATAGGGAAATTTGGGAGTTAGGGAAGGAGGGGTAGGAATGGTGAGGGGGGCACAGATAGGGGAATTCTGCAGGGGTCTGTGGAAGCGGCGTCTTATCGCTGGATCTCAGGCGCTTCCTGCAGTTGCAGCTGTCAGAGCACCTCTAGATAGATTTCTTCCTCCGAGGTTTCTTCGCAGCCTTTCTGCATCTGTCTCCATTCTCTGTAGGCCTCTGCTGGTCCACTCCCGACAACCTTAGGATTCACTTTATGTAATTTTATGTGCTTGCTAATATGTTTCCATACCTTTGCTTTTCCTTCATTCATCTGTTGCTACAGATCATATCTGAATTTACTATATATGGTGGTATTTACATGTGTTAGATACTGTCTCTTGGTTCTCTTTGTGACCCTTAAAACCAGTTTTGTCTTGATCCAGATCTGCATTTCTTTAACAGCCATGGGTATGTTGTTTAGAGCCATGGGGTCCCCAAGTACCAACTCCATGCCTTGTCTTTTAGAATCCCATGCCTGTGCTCCTCTACACCACACCCTGTGTCTGTAGTTCTCTGCTCTTGCTCTAAGTCTGTATTTCTCTTCATAAGATCGTCTTAGAGTCATAAATATCCCATTATACATGAAATAACTGCTTGTTATTGCTATCTATATAAAACTAAGGTTGTCTCATGCAAAGATAAATGAAAGTAAACCAAATTTACCATAGTCATCTGATCAATCAGAAAAAAAACTCTCGTCACAGCTAAACTGAGCAAAACAAAGCTTCAGGCAAGTAAAGAAACATTCAGACAGCAAGTTTGACCAGTGCTGGTCCAGAGAGCTTGAAAACTGAGTACAAACCAATAACGGCCAGTTACTATCCACAGCAACGCCATGTCACAAGGCTACACAGTTACACCAAGATGGTCTGTGACACCTGCCCGTCTGGTGTGTTGCAGAGGCAGTGCCCTTCTCAGTTCTGTCATTCACTGTTTCTGCCAGCTCCTGGCAGGCACCTGAGGCCATCTAAAAAAGTACAAATAGCCTGAGAGTGAACTGAGCCATCAGGATCAATGGGTCACCTTGAAAGCGTGATTCCTCTCATCCTCAGAAAGGTATCTGGGGTCACGCAGGTCTCTTCTGGCAAAGAAGAGATTAGTTCAGGGATATCTGATATTTAATATGTGGAGTTACAAGAGATAAAATTTACTTTTAGCATGGGATTCAATCCAGTAAGTTGTTCCAGTTTCTCTTCCTATAAGGAGAACAATTTGTAAAGTGTTACCTCCCGTCATTAGCTGCACAGGGCATTTGGATACGTACCCTAGCAGGACTGGTCCTCTACATCATCTCATACTTGGGCATGATCTGGATCTACTGCATAGTCTTCTATAGGCCTAAACTATGTAACCTGTATCCTTGAAACTGCATAAAAATAACTTTTTGATTTTGCGGAGAAATCCAGGGAGAGGCACTATCCATATGTTTCTGGAAAATTACTGGAATTTCAAATCATATTATATGAGAGTTTATAAACCCATAAACATACTTCCTAATCTGACCAATGATCAGTCCTGTTTCAAATGTAGATAATGTAATAACAAAGAAAATAGACCATGTCACATTCTGTGGTTTACCAAGAAAATGCAAATGATTGTGCTTATGTCTACTAAGATTTTATCTTAATTTTTTCTTAATGTAATACAAAAGCTTGAAGCCAAATGTACTGATTATCACTCAATAAAATCAAAGCCAGAAAACCCAGCTAAACAAAAATAAAAAAATAAAATAAAATAAAATAAAATAAAATAAAATAAAATAAAATAAAATAAAATAAAATAAAATAAAAAATGAAAAGAGGAAGAACATGACATTAGTCCAATAGTTAGAAATCTGTGATGGAAGCCCTGAAAAATTTCATTCCTGTTCCCTAAGTGGCTTATGCATTTTAAATGTAATTTTTCTCAGATAAAAGCCTAACACAGTCCAGAGAGAAGATGGTAAGATTTCAGACCCTCTGTGAGCAAATTCACTGTCTCTGGGCTCTGATGGTGGAGCAGCTTTTGTGTTATTGCCTTTAAAAGCTATTGTTGTCCCCTTAGAAGGTATCATGTCTGGGCCTGAGTTGCCACAACATAAAGCCTAGAAATTTGCAGAAACACATTAGGGTCTAAACTGCTGTGGCAAGGACAAACACTCATATCACTGCTGAAAAGACAGAAATCTCCAGGAGAGAAGAACCAAGGCCAGTAATAGCTTTCCTGGACCTAGTGGAAACTCTACTTTAATGGGAATCAGTTCTGAGTGTTGAAACTCTAGCCAAGTACTACTTTCAGCAGA